TGAGGGCTGGTGCTGCCCTCCCTCTCTTTGTGCCCAGGCTGGCTCTCAGCTCATCCGGTTGACACTCCAGGGCCAGCAAGACCCGCTGAGGAATCAGACAGCCTTGGTGGACGAGTCCCGGAGCACCGTGACCTACTACATAACCTCGCAGAGTAACCACACCGCCGTGGTGCTGTACGACAGCAGGAACGTAAGTGCGTTGGAGAATTACCTGGAAGCGAGCAGAGGAGCCCAGGCTGCTCAGAGAAGAGCTGCTGGGGTGGGAGCAGGAGGTGTAGGCCAGGAAAAACAGCAACCAGCTGCTGTTTGATGTTCTTCTCTGCATCTTTCATTAGGAAAGATAATGCAGGGCAGGAGGAGGAATGTCCGTTTTGGGGGGCTCTGAAGCCAGCTGCAGGTGCGTGCCGCTGCCTGCTGTCACAGGGCACAATCTGCCTTGCAGGGCTACGTGTGCTACAAACCCATGGAGCAGCATGCATGCTACCTGAGGAGGATGGACGCCTGGGACCGCCAGAGCCTACAGACACCTCTCAACACGTCTGAGCTGAGAGTGAGCAGCCGCTGCAGCTGTTCCCCAGGGCAGCTGAGGGGATGGGGGCTATGAATTGTGCTTTGCGCAGAGTCCTGGCTCACTGGAGGCCCTTTCCTGCATGGATTTGTGTTCATGGTGGTGACTCTTTAACACCTGCACCCCAAGCGTGGCTAAAGGAGGGCACGGGACCTCCCAGCCGGGGGTGACAGCGGCAGCCCCCAGGACCTTGCAGCCAGGGGTGACAGCGGCAGCCCCCTGTTCTGTGCAATTCACTGCTCAGGAGGGGCTGGGTCAGTGTCTTGCATAGGAGCAGAGCTCCTGGGTTTATCGCTATCCTAACTTCTGTGAGAAGCAGCAGAGCTGCAGGTCGGGGAAGGGGGATATGTCCCGGAGAGGTGAATAGCAGGGCTCTCCCAGGGCCCGCTCCCACTGGATTCTGTTACCTGCTCAAAAATCTGGGGAACAAGAAACAAAGGGGGTTTGTTAGCAATTCACAGGGAGGAAAGTTGGAGTAAATCATGTATACGGACCCTCTGAACAAAATGTTAATGGATGCATGGGTGGGGGCAGATTCTCTTTCAAGAAGACAGAAGGCCCTGGTTTTTTGTGCCCCTGCCACCTGCTCTCCATTTCCTCAGGGGCTCCTGGGTGCTCCTTGTCCCTTGCCTGCCACTCCCACCCAGCTGGGAAGCGATGGGCAGCATTTAACCCAGAAGAGCGTGGGACCACAGCATCCCTGAGCACAAGCTACCGAAGTGGGTGCAAGGGGAAGGCAGCAACTGCCAGACTCTGAGGCTCCTTAATGGAAGTACAAGAGTTAGTGGTGCCGGGGCTGCCAGCAGCCCATGCGGCCATCAAACAGGAACTGGCGTTGAGGAGCCTCAGCTCAGCCTTGTCCCGACCCAGCCACCATGGGGCTGAAGGATGCTGATTTGCATCACACTGGGTGCTGGGGGCGCCACCGCTGTTCCTGGGGAGGGGACAGGGCTGCCGTGGGTCACCACAGCTGTGGTACCTGGCACAACAGGGTCTTTTAGCTCCAGACCTGGGGGACAAAGTGGCCCAGGAGGAACTGCGTCCCCTGCTTCCCAAGCTGCAGGGGTAGTGAGGGGCTGCAGGCTGTCCCTGCTCCAGCCTCACCCCTGGGAGCCTGCTCCAGCCAGAGCAAGCAGCCTGGTGGGACAGGGCAGCTCTTGGGAGAAACCTGCCCTTACTGCTGGTAAGCAGCAGGGCTCGAACACCAGAGCAGGGCTGGAGAGCGGCGCTGGGAAGCGCAAAGTGCCTTGGGAGGAATTAACAGGGACATTTCTTTCAGGCTGATCAGATGCTACGTCAGAACAACCAGACCAAGTACTACCGGGAGTTCCTGGGCATTCTGGTGGGGGAACAGGTGGACCCCAAAAGCCTGGGGGAGTCTGTCCAGACCATGTGTGAGCAGACATCCATCTTCTGGGTCAGGAGAGGGGAGGGTAAGTTGTACACATCCCTTCACAGAAGAGGGAAGCACGATTATTTCTAATCTAAGAGGAGCAGGCTCTGCTGTGCAAAAGCTGCTGCACAGCCCGGGACGGGCTGCCAAGGCCTGGGGACAGGTGACCTCTAGTTCGACACCAAACCATTGTTTGGGGATCACTGAGTGCTGGCTCCTACCCACACCCTGCAGTGGTGGCTGGGAAAGGCTCCGAGCCCCCTTCCCCGGGCAGCGCAGCCTGCTTGTGCCGCACAACCACACACAGCAGTCCCCTGCGATGCTGTTGGCTTAATGCTTGTCACCTTCATCTTCACCAAAAGCAGCCGGCCGAGCACTCCTTCTGTTCTGCCTTACTCAAGCTTTAATGAAAAGGTCATTCCCTGAGGCTTTCCACTTGTTTGGCTCCCCAGGGACTTGTCGCTGCAGGACTGCAGAAGCATTCCTCACCCTGCTTCTGTCCTCATTCATTTGGCAGGTCCGGGGAAGCAGCGGCTGATCTACCTTTGCATTGACATCTGTTTTCCAAGCAACATTTGCGTGTCTATCTGCTTCTATTACCTCCCCGAGTAAGTCCTGCAGCCGCAGACGCCCTCTTGCTGCTCTACATACTTGAACTGGATTCCTGAAAAGCCTCTGATTTCAACAGGGAAGGTAACAGCTACAATAGCCCCCAAAAGCTTCCTGCCGATTTCATGCTGCAGTTCAGGAGAGGTTAGAAAAATACCAGGGCTCTGCTCAGCACTGTCAGTACAAACACTTTATTTGCAGCTGTGCTGCAGGGCTGCACCTTGTACGTAGGTAGTAGGAGACCCAGGCCTAGAGGAATCGCGTGGCGGAGATAATGTTCCATGGCTACACGCCCCGTTCAACACAAGGTTACTAAATTTGTTGGGTGGGTGTGGTTGGCTTTGTAAGAGAGCAGCTCTCCAAGTAAGTCTGTGAAATACACTTTGAATAAAGGGATTGCAAACCAGGAAAACAGCTGCCTTTCCTCTCTTTGCTCAGACTCTTCCAGCATGTAGAAAGGCTGACTGGTTTGGGGTTCTTTTCCACTTCGGGGTACAAGAACGCCACAAAGCTGCCAGCAGCTGATGCCACAGGGATTCCTCCAGCTGAACTGTATCCAGCTCCCCTCAGTGGTGTCACGACTCCCTCTCCCATTCCCTTTTGTCCAAGCAGCCTCCCTTAGAGGCCACGTACATTTCAGTAATGATCTGCTCGCAGCTGAAGCCTGGTTCTCACTCCAGGCAGCTCCTTCTGCCAGAGACCAAGCCCTCTCTGTCAGCGCAGAGGAGGGTTACCCGTGCACGTCTCGGGCTCCAGAGAGGGTGCCTGCCACTGTAAGACAAGGGAAAACAAGCAGAAGTCCTTTCCTTCCCACGCGTGGTGGTTATCCCAACACACTGTCGTTGAAAGCGAGGCAGACGACTGCTTTCTGGTGGCCACTGTACTCCCTCTTGATCTCTCCTGTCTCCACACACCAAAGCCTGGCCAGGTTATCAGAGGAGGCTGGAACAGAAAGTGGAAAGAGGAGTGGGATATATCGCATCACCCTTTAAACTTGTTTTTTGTTATTATAAGGAAGGCTTTCCTCTTGCTTCATTCCAAATCTTTATTAGGGCTGCTGATGACAGGTAAGGGAGCCAAGCAGAGCAAGCAGCTTAGCACATTTCTGTATTACACAACATTTTAATTATTTTGGAGAAAAGTTACTGTGGAAATGACAACATCTATGCTTTGAAGGGGCTATCATGCTGCATACTGCAAGCAGCATTGCTACCAGGTGAGATAAACTGCACACACGAAGATCATCTCTCCAGTTTAAACAGATGCCCTACGGCAGCACCAGCAAAATGCCTAAAGGAGTGAGCAGACTGCACTGCGGGCGCGCAGCTGCGTGCTCTCTCCTTGCATACTGGTGCACGAGGGTTTGGCAACGTCCCAGTGACAGATGCTGCCAAGTCCTGCACTAGTGCAAGGCCGTGCTGCTGGGGGCCTGGCGTAGCCCAAATCAAGCGGTGGGCCAAGGGCAGGAGCGCGGCAGTGCCTCACCTGTGACAATGTACTGGGAGTCCCCGGAGAACGCGCAGTCCCACATCCAGCCCCGAGATGTTTCCCCCGGGTTATTGCTCTTAATGCTCAGCTCTGTCATCAGAGAGAAGTTTGAAGTCCTCCAGATCTTACACGTCTGATCTGCAGAACACGTCGCCAAGAGCCTGCAGGGAAGAGACGTGCGAGGGTAACCTTATTAGTTGCCCTGTGCGCCTAAGGGCCTCCCATTAATGTGGGCCTGGAACAGTAATGAACTAGAGACCTACGTTCATTGTAATCGGATTTCTTTACACCCATATCATCTGCCTTATGAGATTCAAGCCGAGCAGACTCGGCAGAGGAACACACCACGTTCACTACTTTGCTCCCAGAGATCAGCCATGCGATCCCAGCTGTAAGAACAGCTCATGGCTGTGAAGCTTGCTGAGATCATGGGGCATGAGGCTGGGGTGCCACTGACACCAAAACCCCGCCCCAGCGTGTCTCACACCTCCCTGAGGGACCTGCAGGGACACGTGGAGCCAGCATCAGCCAACAGCTGGAGGCACAGCTGGTCTCTGCCAGCTCAGAAGGGACTGTCTGTTCCCATCGCAGGTGAGTGAGGGGCTGGCACACACTCACGTGGAGTCGGGGCTGAACTTGCACTGAAGGGCATAGCGGTTGTGCGCTGGGATCTTGGTCTTGGGGATCAGCTGGGTCACCTCCTCTCCAATGCCGCCTGTCAGGTTCCACACATAGCAATTTCCCTGCAGCAAGACAGGGGGATCCGTGGCCGGGCTGGTGGTCACCCACCCAAAAGCAGCCTGGACTTCCCACGTCCAACCACAGCACTGCAAAGCCTGGACACCGGCCGCCTCTGCCCACGGGAGGCACAGCCCCACAGCTGCCGGAGCACCATAAATCCCATCCCACATCCAAGGCCGTCAGAGCTCACCGAGCTGTTGACAGCCGCCATGTAACTGGCATCGGGGTCAATGTGAACTGAATTCACGGAAACTTCAGGCTCTGGAATCAGCTGCTCGTTGTGGTCTGTCTTCAGGTCCCAGATGTGAATGGCACCACTCTGATCACCCACAATTAGCTCTGCCTGCAAGAGAACAGCAGCTTTGTCTCTCTGAGGAGAACCTCGCAAGCAACAGCCCCAAGCCCACGCCCAGATCCTGCCCATGTAGCACCATGTGGAGCCTTGCTCTGGTTTGAAGAATCAGGGGCCTGCTCTGCCTAATTATTCCCAGCACAGGGCTGTTTCCGAGCCCCAGCAGCCTGCTGACTGCCCCTGTGCCCTCAGAGCAAGCAGAGAACTAATCTCACGTTATGCCCTGCAAAAAAGGCTGTTTACCTTTACAGAAGCGTTTGCTAATTTTATAAAAAAAACCCAGAGCGAGACAGCAGCTGCCTGATTTCCAGAGCCACTGCACAGCTACAGCTCCAAACAACATCCTCAGGAGCCAAACGATTTTCAGCATGTCTGAGGAGTGGGCATTAAGATGCAAGTTGGCCAGTGAACAACTGAAGCACTCAAGAGTGTACAGATACCTGAAAAACACAAGCCTAAATGGTTTTTTTCTCTCTCTCCCCTTCTCAGGGGAAGGACAAGAGCCAACTGAAGGGCAGGAGTTCTGGCTCCGATCCCATGCTCGGACCAGAAGACAATGCTGGCGGCTCTCCACTAAAACCAGGGTTTTTATCGACAGTCTTGCGCTGCCCATAATTTTAGCAGAATCCCTAGAGGAGATCAGGTCATCGGGCGCAGCTAATCCTGTACCTGTGAGCAACGGCTTGTTTATGAGGAAGACAATCCTTGCCCAGTACATTTAGCTGACTGCACAGCGCAGAAGCATCTGCCGGGTGCCTCCATCCTCAGCTCCCACTTAGCAGGCCTAAGTGCAATCACTAAAGCCATCACGGCTTTACCCAAGCCGTGAGAAATATCTCTCTCCTAACTGGATCAGCATTGCTGCAGCAGGGAATCGCAGAGCAGTGAAGCTATCTGAATAAATGCTGCCACCTTCAGACTAATTAACTGTGCTCTGCTCACAAACCAACACTTCTCCCGCAACTCAGCAGCATCTTGGTTAGTGGTTATTTCACAAGTAAGATCTATGTATGACAGCAGTATTCATTTTAACGTAATACATTCTGACAGCACCGGCACTACAGGACCATCACCAGCATTTGGGTAAAGTCTGGTTCCAAAGAATTGATCTCAGATCTGGTCCAAAATTCAGGACTTGCAAAACCCAGCCTCTGCAAAATCCAAAATGCAAAGAAACATGTCTATTACTCAGCTTTTTAAAAAGGTTTGCACTGCCATGTCTGCAAACAAACCCTGCAGCACTGCAAATACAAAATGGACCAGACGGGTTATTACCACTGCAATGATACAGATCGATTTTCACCGCCAGCCCCTCTAATGCACTGTACAGCTTTTTAGCTGCGTTTCCTGAGCCCCAGCCATCCCTCTGTTTATCAACAGCTTCTGAATCTTGAGCAAATCTGACCTAAGTCCCAAAAGTAATCAGGGCCACGGGGCCGGAGATGCTTTTTCTTGGCAGCAGTGCCACTCTCAAGCTTCCCAGCCCACCCCGCACAACCAGTTCCACTCCCATCACATCCCCTTGGTTACATTCTTCGGACAGAGACAGCCCCGAGGCAGCGTCTCCTCCTACAGGATGAGAGGCCCAGCACAGCCGCTATGCCCTCTCTTTGCAACAGCCACCAGGTAATTAGCACAAAACGCGCTGGCTGGCAAATGAACTCAGCGGACAAAGCCCAAGGGCTGTGCCATGGACGGCTGCTGCAGGCACAGCGTGAGCCTGCTCGCTCCCAGTGCCGCTGCTCGGGGAGGTTTGCTCCACTGCACAAAGCACTGTGGGCTTTCCTGGGGCAGACAGAGGGACTGTGTGTCTGTCGTGCCGGCTCCCATGCCATGCAGGCCATGTTCCCACACCAACCCAAAGCTCCCAGCAGCAACAGGTCAGCAAGGGAGCAGGTGGGCGGGTGGCCTGGGTGCAGGTCCAGCAATGCCACCAAGAGCTCACGGGTCTGTGCCACCAGGAAGGGCACCCACCCCAGCCAGCCCCCAGATCTTTCGCTGCCTCTGCCAGTATAAAACTCTGCAGCCCCTCGGGTTTACCCAGAGGAACCACAGCAAAGCATGAGCTGGGAAATCACAGAGGAGCCAGTGCTCACCTGGTTGGGGTGCAGGCAGACGCAGTTAATAGGAGCATTCACCTGGAAAATGCGCTGACACTGGAGGTTACGAGACCTGCAACAAAACAGGGAGGAAGGAGCATGTTTAAGAGTGAGCAATCGGCTCCACCGCCTCCGGGGAGCTGCTGGAGGGGGGCACTGCTGCCTCGGGCCACCTCAGGTCCCAGATCCTGGCCATGCCGGCCTCCCCGGCCGTGGAGCTCCCCCCCCCGTCC